TGTGCTGGCGGCGTGGGGGAGAAAAGGGAGAGGCGGCCGCGTGGCGCTTTTGTTGCCGGTGGCAGCCGAAACCAAAACACTTTGAAAGAGTTGCAGTAGGGCCAGAAGCAGAAGTGGGGTCCAGCCAAGATCATCACACTTCAGCTGTACATGCAGGTAAGAAACAAGCTCAGTGGTATGCCTGGATTGCCACAGCAGTCACATGCCCTCAGTGTTCCTAGATGTTGGTGTAATAACTGGACAAGGCTCTGGCTCTGGGACAGAGGGGAGCTTTTTCTGATCCCGTTCTTGTTGCACAGCCTTAGATGGGCAGAGTTTTTTTGCTTTTTATCTACTAAAATGATAAACTGCTTCAAGACTGTCTCTGACTCTTGTATCTAGCACAGTAAAGATATAGAAAAATACTTTCTGCTCTTACATCAATGCTCAATACAGTTTTTGCAGGTGCTGAAGTGCAGTTGTATAGACACAAGAGTACTGCTGCTGTGCAAAGACCAACACCTTAGTCAGTTTGAAATAAAACACAAGCAAACTCTACAACACTGTAGTATCTGCATTTGAGGAGTCAAAATTTCTGGACACCCTTGTTCTGAATCCGAAAAGCATGCAGAAACGTGTCCTAATTTTAGGATTTTTTCCACCCCCATACTGTTTCTCAGTTTCTCTGCTCCTTCTCAAATACTTCCCATCAGTCCATCTTGTTCCCACCCTTCTCATCTGTGACTTATTTCCCTCTACAGCGTGAGAGGACACAATAGTGTTTGCACTAGCTTTCAGCACTTGGACCCAGAACTTGTCTTAGCTAAGTGAAGCCCAGAACTGCATGTCAGTGAAAAAAATAGCTGCATTATCCTATACAGATGGACTGTATCTGGGAACTTGCTGTGATGGTCTATGAAGCTTCTACTGGACAGGGAAACTGTGAGTTGGTACATAAAGCTTAGGACATGGGTGAACTTAATTTTTCATGAACGTTGGAGGGACACATTCCAGCATCAAGGCTATTCCTAGGCCAAATCTTAAATCCTTAGCCTTATGTGTGAGTACTGAAATCTTTCACATCTTGACAACTTCTCCCATCTTAGTAAAACTCATCCAGGGAATGAGTCTAAGAGTGAAAAACACAGATCTATTCTGGGCTGAAGTATATAGGAAAAAAAGTCTATCATGAGGCAAATATGCCTTCATTTGCAGCTCAAATACATGGTGGTGTCTCTACAAGGAGATGTGTCAGGTTGCCTCTGTAGTAGTGTAGTCGCCAACTTGGCCCACCTTGAAAGAAGGTCTTCGACTGGGGCATGGGAGGTGTGGTTTGGTTCTCAGCTCTGTAGTAAACTTTCTTGTGTAGATCATGTGCAGCCAGAGTGGTTTTAGAAGATTGGTGAAGTTAAGTGCTTTTATATATATAAAATAATAGACAAACATACTAACAAATTAATAATATTTAGTTATTTTAATAAATATTAAAATAAAAATTAATATCATAAACTCCCCCTCCCCCTCAAGCACTAACCAACCATTCATTTGGCTGAGAATCCCAATTGACTTATCTACCCCTTCGGGAGCCTAAACCCTGTTAGCGTACTTAGTACTTGTCCTTTATAGTACCCTCCTTCTACATAGAGGTCTCTGGGGAAGCTGTCACTTGTGCCAGAGCTGTCACAATGGGGTGTAGTGCTCTGATTCTAATATAGGCAGTGACATACATCAAGACAATATGGAAAACTTACTGCTGTGATGATACAGTAAAATGTAATGCAGTCACTGAAGCCCATCCAGCGCTGGTAGTCAGGATATTCTCCCTTCCTCAGGAAGTACTGATGCCCTATGTAGTTGGGATGTTCACAGAACATCCAGCAGCCAGTTTCCACCTTGACAGAGTTGCAGTGTTTGAGGTGGGCACACAGTCTGGCTGGTCTGTGGTGGCCTCACAGGAGCAGCCCTCAAAGTCTCTGTCCTCAAAGAAAGTGAGCTGCAATAAATCAAAAGTAAGCCCAGTCACACTGGAAAGTATTTGAAGGCTGGCTTTGTTTTGCTTAGATTGTACAAAACAATCTAAAGACTGGGTCCATAGGGACATTTCTACCAGACCCAAAGACTAGCAGAGCCCTTCAGTCTGTTTCCTGTAGGATGCACAGACACTTACTGGTGTCTTCATTTCTCCAGTACTACAAATGACAGATGGATGTCTCTTTGGGACTCTGGGAAGTAGGGGGCAACTTTTGTCATGATTTAATGCTGGAAATAGCCTGTCAGCACCTTCACGACAAGTTTTTGGGAGCATTTGGAGAAAGTGAGACCCAGTTTGCTCTTTGACTAAAAGCTCCGTGGATGACTTCTGTGTATCACACAGTCATTCAGCTTTGTGCCTTTCTCATGCACCCAGTCCTGGGCTCCTAGAAATCTTCTGCAATGTAGAATACAGACAAAGGAAGGAATAATTCTCCTACATCTGAACTGTGCTGAAGCTTTCACCTCTCCTAATGATACAGGAACAAAACAAGACTGTTGTGTCTAACCTGAGTTAATAATTGAGCACTCTAGGTGATGCTGGGCAGCTGTATCTTAGCAGCAGTAAAATCAAGTTAGAGATACTTAAATTCAGTGGCGTTGTTTGGTGATATTTATTGCATTTGTTTGGAATAGAGTACTTCAACCTTATTTTCCTGCACATCTGCAGAAGTCCAAGAATACATAAACTTTAGGTCTCTTTCAGCAGCTGACAAACTTAAAGGGAAACTAGCCAGACAGAAAAATAAAAACAAAAGATTTTTGTGTGTAAATGTTTCAGCATTTGAAAGCTTCCAAGTACACTATAGGCTTTCTTTAGGAATCTTCTCAAAGAGCTAGATAATAAAACAACCACTTGAGGTTTCCCCACTGCTAATGTGTTGGTAGACCAACAAATTATGTTTGCAAACATGCTTGCCCACAAGGAGCTATGCATGTGCAGGGTTGTTTGTCAGTGCTCCGTTCACTCAGCTGTTCTTGCCTTTGCCATTTTTGCCAGGGCTTAGCTGTGAGCCCTCAGCATGCAGGAGGAGTCAGCAGTCCTTTATATAGAATGCACAGTGCTGCATCCACAGAAATGGGATAAAAGAGAATTTTTTGCTCAGTAAAGAGAACGAATATTTTTTTCCCTCCCTCTCTCCATTGCCATTCTCTAAACAAAAGGCAATAGCAGTAGTTTGTGGGGTACCAACTTTATTGTTACTATCGGGAAGCAGAGGATCAGAGTAAAGGGTAGATCAAGAAATATTTCTGTTATTTTCCTGAGGGAATATGTGCAAGCAAATGTGCTGGAAATACTGCAGCAGAATTGTTTCATGTCACTTTATTTTTAATTTCTCTCTATTCCCCAATTATGTGAGACAAAAGGTTTTTTAAGGCATATGGATTCCCAGTGATGATACTGTAAAACAGTTTTCACAGTATGTCAATAAAACTGTGATGATTTTCAAGAGCCTTCAGACCAGGAATTTCTGCCTGTTTCCTATAACAGCAAGAGTGTGTGTATGAGAGAGAAAAATGATGTAATCAAAATGTGTGGTAATGGATGTTTAAATCCATTAAGGCTTCACTGCTGAAATTCTGTATTAATATAATAAAGAAACTAGAAGCTGCAGGATGGATAGCACTTGTTCAAGGCAGAGCACAGCCTTTTTAAAGCTGCACAGAGAAACGTTTCACTTGAGAGATGTACAGATTTTTGGAGCTCAGATGTGAGTCACTGAGGCAAAATGCAACAGCACAGTAATTTCTTCAGCTGAAGAAACTTTAATTGCAGTTGAATTTCAAAAAAGCTATGATGTTTAGGAAGAACATTGTGGTAAGTTTTCAGTCTCATCTGATTAATTGCAAAGATGCTCAGGACTGTGTTCACTCTGTGCCCTTGTTTGATAGGTGTAGTGCAATTCTCAGTCCATCGATACACTGCAGTTTCTTCAGAAGTCTGGGCAACAGGCTGCCTCAAAGTCAGAGCCGTTTGCTGCTTTGAATTTATTGGCTGAAGCTGATGTACTCTGGGGCTATTTAGGTACAGTTATTCTGCTGCTGATCAATTTTGGGTTCTAGCAGGAGCTTTTTTCCTCAGCTTATGTCTCATTTGAGTAATGGGAGGTAACCTGAGTAAAAGTTTTGTGCTACCAGTGCTACATCAGGCATTTTAAGTATTTTCCATTCAGTCTAGTAATTACAAAGCCTAAGCACAAACAAAGGTTAAAATATCAAGGAAGTGTTATCTATTTGAAATAAAAAAAAAAATAAATCCAAGACTGTTTTTCAAAGGAAAAAGATAAACAGCACAGGTTTGATTTATTCTTCTGGAGTTTTAAATATTTCTCTGTAACTATTTTTTCTTTCCCTCAGGGGCCATTCCTTCTCTCCTGCTTACCTTCCTTTTCTTTCCTTCCACACTCACCTTTGAATTACCATTCACAAAATCCTATCACGTGCAAAGCCACATTTTCGTACTTTCTGCTCATACTGCGTGGAGCAACAGTGAATTTTTTTGGCTCACTGGCTTCTTGTTCAACCAAAGCTGTACACGTTTATGCTTTCTTGCGTCTTTCATGTGTCTTTCACTGTGAGCCTTGTATGGTGATTTCATGGAGCTACAAAACTTCAGGGGCAAATATTTAGCTGGCCTGTTTTCACACAGCTCTAGTTGTGCTTCTAATGGGTGTTGTAAATGATATCACTCCGTCAGCCTCTCTCTTGGAGGTGGTTCCTCAGCCAGGAAATTGTAGCCTTTAACACTGAAGGCAGACCGAGGAACGGGTGTGAATTTAAGTCTAGCAGTTGCTTCTGAATACCTCCATGCTTTCTTTGGATCAAAAATAACTTCTTCCTGATGGTTAATACTAAGCAAATTGAATTCACTTACAGGAGCAACTTGTATGTGCAGGCCTGTGCTTGCATTTCTCGAAGACCTTTGACAGGCTCAGAAGTGTTACACTTTTTTTGTTCTGTGGTCATGCTTGCTTTGTGGAGCCAGCTTGTCTGTTGGGTCCTGTGTGGTCCTTCATAGTTTAATACCGTGGGCACTGGGCTTGGTGATGAAGTTAGGAACTTGAGAGATCATAGTAGGGGCAGTGATATGTGAATTCCTTATTGTAGCTACAAATGTAGAGCAGCCGTCATGGGTCAGACTGGCGGTCCAGCTAGTCAAGTTACTTGGCAGCAACTGCAATGATGAGTGGGTACCGAGGGAAGGACAGCTATGAAGCAAATACATATGATACTTCGTTCAGACTTCAAGACCTCAAGTAATTTTAGCTCAAGAGGTTTCCTCAGCAGGAGGTTACTTTTTTCTGGTTAATAATGCTCTGTGGATTTGTCTTCCAAGTACTCATCCAGCTTCTTGAATCCTGTAGATGTTCCCCTCCCAGGACCCTATGCCACAGATGGCTGTGCACTGCAGGAAGGACTGTGGGTTGGTCTTAAACTCTGGAGCCAAAATATCTTCTTAGCCAAATGGTATCCATGATCTGAGGAGTCTGGTTATTCACATCTGTTCCAACTGCCCTCAACTAGTATGCTGTTATGACAGCTGCTCTTACATGGAGATTGACTGCTTTTGTACCCCACAAAAACTCATGTGTAGGGATAATCTGAAAATAGCAGTGAGTGTTTGTGTAGAGAAACATACCCTGCATGCCAGCAACTGTAGTGCCTGCTACCAACCATAAAACAAGCTACAGGAACCTAGAAGACTTGCTAGCAAAAACCTGGATGCTCTCTGTGAATTCTCAGTGCTCCTCTCCTCCAGCACCCTTGATCTTAATGTCTGGTTGAGATTCTCTGAGCATTTGCGAACAAAAGCAAATAAAACCTCTCAGTGCTCCTTGAAAACTAGGAATTGCCACCATTCCTGTCTCAGATGGAGAAATTTGGAGAGGATTAGCCACCCCCAATCTCTAGGGCACAGCACAGTCAAGAATCCAGATGTCCTAACTGTAGCTCTGATCACCGAATAGTGCATTTCTATTCATTCTTGCCTTTGACCAAAGGAATGCCAGCACGTAACATACACATCACTACATAGCCATATTTCTCAATTGCACTAATTGAATTAGATACTTTGTTGGAGTGTGTAGGCATATGTTAATTGCTGTCTGAGGAGCTGGTCTGTTTTTTCTTTATTTTATGCTTGGTGAAGGCAAATGAAATATTTTTGTTCCCTGTTCTAAGCAGGTAAGTAGATACTATGCTTGAACTGCTGTGTTATTTTGCAAACATGGGTTAGCACGCTCAACTAAGTATGCTAACACCCCTATTACTTACACTGTGCCCTTCCTATAAATGCACAGTATTAGGCATTTGTGAACAAGACGAAACATGCTTTTTCACGCCTCTGCCTCAGGAGCCGAGTTCTTCATGCTCCATTTCTCTCTGGCTGAAGCATGGTGTTCTTATTTACACCAGCCATTTTCTGCAGCTGAGCAGCCTGCTTTGTGCAGTAAAGGACAGGCAGGAGGGCAGAGATATTGTCCCATGTACAAAAGGAAGGATGACAAGGGCAAAGAATAGTTCTATTCCTCTCTAGTGTTGTCAGGGAAAGGCTGGTGAGGATCACTAACAGGCTATTACTGATGAGTCATGTGAGGGTGAAATAATCACTAAATGAGGTCTCTGACATTAGCGAGTGGAGATGTGAGTTTTAAGCACTCTACCTCACTGCTGTAGAAGTTGCTTGGTTTTATTCAAGGACTCCGTTATCAGAATGTTTACTAGGCAAAACACAATCAAAGCCTACCATTTAAAGCCCAGATGAAATGGCTTAAAATTAAGCATACACTAGATAAGGTTGCAGAGTGTCCTAGTAGTTCTGTGCTCTCTGTACTGCTTTCTCTTTCCAAAAGTCTCCAGCACCTTGCTGAAGGGCAGTAGTATATTTGCCTAACTGTGCCTGAAAAAAAAAATCTAGACTACACTACCTAAATGAGCAGAGGTATGTTAAGGTGTGAGATGCTTTAACTGTGTTTTGTTGTATTTTATTACGACTCTCATTCCTTATTGCACAGGATTCAGTGGTGATGAGTAGGTATATGCATAGTTACTTGAATGACAATTTGTAGGCATATGCATAATTGCTTGAATGATAATTAATGCTGCAATAGACTTTTTCCAGCACAATAAGATATTGTCCTGTTTCTAATCCATGCTGGTATACTTATTTAATTCCTTTTGCATGCAGAATAACCTTGCAATTGAGGGATTTGTCTCAATCTCCTGCTGCAGCACATCAGTGCAGCTCTGAAGTTAGAGGCAGGGTGATTGACACCAACTAAATATCTAGTTCATGAAGTACAAGTTAGCTAAAACGTGCTGTATAAAGGTGGTGTGATTTAAGGATCTGGAAATGTTCCTTCTGGACGAATCAGCTGGGAGAAGACTGCTAGACTGGTGGTAGCATGGAGCAGCTTGTTTGTGTGAAGAATTTGATGCCAAAAACAGCATTCACTTTATTCTAAGATCCTCTGCATCTTTCTGTCCTTTTCCTCCTCAATCAGTACTTCACTGGATGTAACTGTTAGTGGGATTTACTCTTCTATTCCACAGTACCTCATAATTTAAGTAACTGTTAAACATCTAGCTGCATATTGTTAACCTTGTTAAGTATAAAGCTGGAATCTATTCCTAGATCAAAACTTGTAAAACTGAGGAAAACTTAGATGAAAGAATCAGGCCTTTCCATTAATAGCTATATCCACTGAAGTCATGACTGAGGAGCTTTACACTTACCAGTGTTAGGAATATGCAGTTGGACCTGTAACAGTTACTTAAATTATCATGTTACTATGGAACAGCTGGATAATTGTGAATTTTTTTTAAAGTATTCCCGCTCTCCCTCTAAAAAGTGAGAGAAGTCAGATTTCTCTCTGGACTGCACGTCTTTAATTTGCTTGCAGTACTGAAGGAAGATTTGTTTGAACAAGGATTTTGGAATGCATTCACTGTTTATTTAGTGTGGGAGCAATAACTCAGTGTAAGTCATCCAGTCTCTGCAAAGAGACAATTTTGGTATTTGCTGCACCCCAGTCAAGGAATCTTCTGTGTTCTCTGGGTTTCAGTAAGTACTGTCGGCCTCTGAAGCTGGGCATTTCATACAAGATCCAAGAACCACCTGAAACATTGAGGGAGCAGATGTCAGGGAGATGGATGTAGCCTGGACTGATGGGCAAACATCAGTGTGCTCCAACATTTGGCCTTGGAGCTCCTCTTTTTCGTGGAGCTGAATCTTGTGGGAAACTGAATTGTGCAGTGGCAAACACAGCAAAAATACAGGAAAGACAGAGATTTAGCTGATGCTGACGTTACTAAACAAGACAGACATACAGAAAAAAGGCAACTTTCCCAGCTACTCTGGATTTCTGAGACATTGCGTTCTATTCTGGAGATTGGATTGCGAAGAGATTCACTCTTTTGAAGCCAATAGAGGAGGCTTAATGCTTACCCACATGGAGGAGCTCAGGATGCTCCAGCTGCCAGCAAGTGGATATGATCACATGTGTGGTAGGAAGTAAATGGAGGATGCTTTATGATTTGAAGAAATGGGATTTGTAAGGACTGCTTATTGTGACAACAGATGAAAATGTATTCATGTGACTTTGAGATGATCTGTGGTGCTTACTCGTGACCAGGCGGGAATAACGTGGCCTTTTTTTCGAATTATGCTATTAAAAGACATTTACCGTATTACTCCATATGTTGCCATTATACACTGGTGTTCAGGCAATTGCCATGTGGCAAACTGCTGAGCTATGTGGAGCACTGGCATGCGAGTGTTCCTGCTTTTATGGCTTATACTATATAGTATATCTTACTAACCAGTGGAGTACTTTAGCAGTATTAATTCTTTGCCTGGTTTTAACCAACACAGCCTGTATGTTAGGAAAGCCATACCCATTGCAAATCTGATTTAATATGTTCTTGTGTCATTGAATCATAACATAGTATGCTCATGAGCAAGTTGTATACACAGGCCACAGCAGAACTTTGTATCAGCTGTCACTATATGCTTAAAGGATGAACTACACCCAGTTTCTTAAACTGTGGTACACTGCCAAGCAGAACTCACTTGCAGGATTACATGGCAAGACCTGATGGAGTCACAGAGACTGAACCACTTTTGGAAGTCAGGATAGTCTCCCCTTTTTAAAAAGTACCGGTGATCTGAGTAATTGGGATTCTCGTAAATCATCCAGCTGCCTTTTTCTGCCTGGATGGAATTGCATTGTTCACATAGGACCACGGGTTAAGGTGATCACTGCTACATTCGTAGCAGTGACCCCAGAAGCTCTTGTCTTCATAAAAAAATTATCTGCAATGTAAACCATTGCAAAGACTCTTAGTCCATCCCAGTGCCTGTGTCAGAGCAGAATACTGGTATACTGGGGCTTCCACTTACCTTTGCAGTTTTGGCAGTTTGCTGAGGCGAAAGCTGAGAACTGTGAGCAAACACCGTGGTTGCTTTTATATACCATAGACCTAATGCTGCATCTGCAAAAAGTAACACAAAAGAGCCCATTCTAAACTGTTGGGAGATCTCATGTTTTGCCTTTTTATTGTAGTTACGACATTTATTATGACATTTGATGCATTTACCATGTGGGACTTATTTTTCTGGGTTCTGGACGTCATCTGCTGATGCTTTGTGCAAGTGAAGTATTGTGTAACTGTGGAGTGGACTACACTTTCAGCAGGTACCAACTGTTTCATGCAGTGCACCTGACCCAATGGAGGATGTATGTATAAGCATGGTTGTTTACAGAACCTCTTTTGCCTGAAAGCTATCGAACTCTGCGGGCCTGAGCATTTTCTGGTGTGGGTCTGTTTCTCTCCTTCTCCAGTCTGTGTCGATTACCTTTTGCCTAATTTTATCCCATGGTAATCTTTCCTTTTGTGAGAGCAGATGAACTTTGCTTCAATATTTCAATACTTTGTCACCTACTTTATCCTGGAAACAGGAAAATTCTCCGTATCACATGGTGGTGTTAACTTTTGCCTACTAATCCCTTCTATTGTGCACAGGTTTTAACACAGACTTGTTAGGAGGAAATAGTGATTAAAAGTTTCAGTCCCTTCCTGGTGTGTGGTTAACTGCTACATCCCTGAAGACTAAAAAGATTGAAATCAAGTGGTTCTTATTAGATGGTTATCAGTGTGTCTGGCTAACATTGTAAAACTGTTTGGGTCAATTGGTTCCATTTTTTCCCTCTGAGAGCCTGCTTTAAAAATTCAAAGGGAGCACACTGCATTAAACTCAAGTTGCTCTCTGTCTGGAACCATGAAGGATTGGTGTTTAATGCTAGAGCGGAGTGCTTTAACACTAAAGCACAGCTAGTAGGTTACAGAAAACTGTATTCCTCCGTTTCAGAACTTTTCCTGTGTCGTTTTTTTCTTGTTTGGTGCAGGGCTGGAACAAACCTTGACTTGTTCAATTCTGATTATCATTTTCTTGCACCTAAGTCTTAGACTCTTAGAAACAAACTGCTTCATGGAATATGCAAAGCTGGTTATACAAATGTCTTATATCACCAGTAGGTGAGGCTCCAGATGAAAAGAAACTACTGCACTCCAAATCAAGATTTATAATCTCATGTATTTGGGGAAACTCATTCAAGCATGTAAAGGCCTTGTCAAGATGATTCATCAGTTAACTTGACACGCAGATAAACAACTTCGTTGATCTGATTTATTTAAAAGGGCTCTATTTGCAACTACATAGTCTCCACCTCCTGTGGAACAAATGTTTGTGGCTGTAAGCAGGGAGAGAAGGGCACAGCCTGAGAGACTTAGCAGTGCACAGCTTTGCTTAGAAGGTTTCAGGCCAAAGAAAAGGGCTTTCAGTGCTGTAGAAAGAAAGGAAAGCGAAAGACAAGAGTGACTTCTGGAGAAACGGATAGGGGGAATATGAAACTTCCAGGTTCACATCCTTCCGTTACAAACCACTTCACTGATATTGTTTTTAACTGTATCCTTATTAAATGACAGGGGCTAATGTGCACTCACCGTTTCCAAAGAGGTTAGATACCCTCCTGTCCTCTTCAGTATATTCAGCCTTATTCTTACAAGCTTTCCGGGTTACGTCAGACTACCTGCCTTCATCCTGTTGGATTTCCTTGTCATGATGTTTGCTTGACTATTGTACTTGTTTGATACATTGTTGCTATTACTGTAATTACACTGTTCAGGGCTTGATTTTTGTCTGCTGGCTGGCTGAGTTGCTGACCTGGACTCAGTGGAACTTGCCACAGGCAGTGTCAGCATGCAAGAAATAATACAGAAAGTTAGTGCAAAGTTGTCACAGTGCTTTAATGTCACATCTGACTATTTCAAAGTGTAATCCCATGTGTACAGAATCATAGAAGCATTTAGGTTGGAAAAGACCTTTAAGATCAAGTCCAACCATATGGCAAACTGGTGGGTAGATCTTTGGGATGATGAGTGATGTAGAGAAATAGTTATTGCTGCATGGACTGCACACGAGTTCATTGAACAATGGATGTTGATGCATGAAGGGCCATGAAGTCTGGCCCTGGATGTCTCTGGCAACCACACCACATACTTGCTTCACATAAATGGACTATGTGTTTAGCACTGTCCGTGGGAATACCTGTGTGCGAGTACCTGGCAGATCACGTCCGTAACAGCACCTGACCTGGTGACAGTCTGTGTGGTATTTTGCAGTTGGTGTTCTCTCTGACTCTGTTTTGCTGCAGACAAAGTCCTTTTTGGAGCCACACTGGGCTAGTTCCTGTTCTGAGTACCTCTAAGCATTCCTAGATATAGAAAATGCAGCAGAGATGCTTGATCTTTCCACCATGACTCCCCTCGTGGAGACAGCATCCTTTACATTGTTTTAGAGAGATTGAGTAGAACTGAATGTCTCATTGCTTTGACTCTGGTATTTGCTTTTGCTGCTGGCTGCGTCTTGAAGATATATAGTCAGAGAATCACAGAATCACAGAATGGTAGGGGTTGGAAGGGACCTCTGTGGGTCATCTAGTCCAACCCAACTGCCAAAGCAGGGTCACCTAGAGCAGGCTGCACAGGACCTTGTCAGGTGGGTCTTGAATATCTCCAGAGAAGGAGACTCCGCAACCTCCCTGGGCAGCCTGTTCCAGTGCTCCATCACCCTCAGAGGGAGGAAGTTCTTCCTCATGTTCAGAGGGAACTTCCTGTGCTTCAGTTTGTGCCCACTGCCCCTTGTCCTGTCGCTGAGCACCACTGAAAAGAGCTTGGCCCCATCCTCCTGACACCCACCCTTGAGATTTTATAAGCATTTATAAGGTCCCCTCTGAGCCTTCTCTTCTTCAGGCTGAACAAGCCCAGCTCCCTCAGCCCCTCCTCATATGAGAGATGTTCCAGTCCCCTCACCATCCTTGTAGCCCTCCACTGGACTCTCTCCAGTAGCTCTCCATCTTTCTTGAAGTGGGGAGCCCAGAACTGGACAGAGTACTCCAGATGGGGCCTCACTAGGGCAGTGTAGAGGGGAAGGAGAACCTCCCTCGACCTGCTGGCCACACTCCTCCTAATACATCCCAGGATCCCATTGGCCTTCTTGGCAGCCAGGGCACACTGCTGGCTCATGGTTAACCTGTCGTCCACCAGGACAGCCAGGTCCCTCTCCACAGAGCTGCTCTCCAGCAGGTCCG